AGATGACTTTTCTTGAATTGATCACAGGACAGCCGTGTAAATGCACAAAAATACAGTATGAGGCCTTCTCCTACTCTGAGAGATTAACTTTGCTTTTCCCTTAGCGTCCATGAAGCTAGAATTGCTAACAAATACGGAAAACACATTCTGAGTGTTTTACCTGCACCTTTAAAATGTCATCAAGCTAGAAATTTCAAAAGTCAGGCTTTGCCGGATACCACATTTCTTCACATTCTCTTTTGTTTAACTTTAGGCTAATTTGTCCTGACACTGCAGCTGCAGGCTCTGCACGGCACGGTCTGTCATTAAGAGCACCAAGGATGGTCTGGAGGATCGGAACTGTTGGAAGTTAATTTGGCGTAAACCTAACTTTCAAAGATCTCTTGAGCTATGACATTTCGTGTCTATGTGCAGTCACTTACACATCTGTTTTAAGAAGTTCTTGCTTATATTATAAATGTGACCTTTACAGTTATCTTTCAAAGTTCCCAGTGCTTTGAAGAAGAACCCCGAGGAGCTTTGGAGATATTAGACTTGTTAAGCATGTTTCGTAGGAATGTCAGTGTCCATTGAATGTCCATCCTTTTTTTTCTTTTTAATCACATAGCTATCTGCTGGTAGCACGTTATGGTTTGGAACCTTGTGATAAAATTAATCATGGTAATCAAAATTCTAGCTCCACACTTAACAGCCAGAGTCAGCTACTAAAAGTTTTCTCTTTTGCAGACAAGAAAATCCCAAGGCCCCTTCCAACTTTAAATTCTGTAAACCCTCCCGGTTCAAATATTGGTTACTGACTGTGAGGCCCTCTAGATCAAGGTCAACCATATTTTCCTGATGAAGAACTAGATATCTTCCTCTGTTTTTTAGACATTGGAATAAAAGGACCTAGCTGTAGAGTGCAATTCTCTGACTTGAGTTTAGCATCCAGAAAGCCTTGCCAACCACCATGGGCACCAGCTAACTCTGGAGACTGATCAAATGTACTGCTTTTGGAGACCCTTTTACTAGTTGGTAACTCCTAATCTAGAAAAATCCATCCTTTTAGCTGATCTAATACAGGAGTCCTGTTGATCAGTGAATTATCTGTCCCTTTCAGATCCAGCCGTGGCAGCACACGCGTGAATTTATACCTAAGCCGTTTTGGGTGTGCATTTCAGATTTGCCCTTTATATTCTCCTAATGACTCTTTGAGACAAAGTTAAAGATTATGAACCTTAGCTTGAACTGACTGGTGTCATGGCAACTAGCACTTCACCTTTTGCTGGTCCCCACCTCATACATGCTACAATATTTGTGCACATTAATAATTCATTGCAAAGTGCCAGATCTCTTTGTGCTGTCAGGCTGTGTCAAGGACGGAATATGCTGTGCTATCTCAGATGTCATCTAGCAGACTGTTGAGGGCAAGAGTAATTAGAAAGGAAAACTAGTCAGGTTACTTGGGAAAATTCCTGAAAATGCAATGCTTTCTAGTCACCCATCTATAGCATTTTTCTTGCAAAGTAAGGAATGGAATTAGTGTTGATCAAAGTTTATTTAATAATTCGCTCCCGACAAAAGGCAGGAGTTGAGTTGTGGAAATAACACTCAAGCAGTAATTGCTCGCCTCTGTTCAGGCAGCAAAGGAAATGATTAACAGCTTTGGTGCTCAGTCGCATGCACTGTGCTCCAGCAGGAACCTGAGCACAGGCTTAAAAGAAACCTGAGCGGTCCTGATGTGGGTGCTCTCATCCCGGGCTTGCCTCTGCCCGGCACAGGGTAGGAGCTGAGTACGTGTGTGAGCAAGCTTTGAAAAACAGTGGTCTGAGTTCCGAGGCTGACTCTGTAGCCTTGGATAGCTTACTTACTTCACCTGCAGTCTCCTCAATAGCTTGTGTGTTGTGATGTTGTTAGTAGTTGTTGTAATTGTAGTACTACCTACAATTGGTGAGCCTTTTTAAATAAAGAATGTAGGTCTTTGCCTTGAGATGTAGAAAATTCAAAGATATATTGGACTTCATTTATACAGAAGGCCAAATTTGTCCCTGATTAGGCAAAGAAATCACAGCTTTTAAGTTTTAAACTGAACATTGACCCACCATGCTTTAAAAAAAGAAAAGCAAGCTTCATATTTAAACCAACAAGTATCACACTTTACCAGCTAATTAAAGTTGAAACATATTTTTCTGAAAAATATGTTTATAGCCCACAATTGGAAAAGACTTTAGCCACATAGCCATATTTGGATTCTTTGGTTTCTCTTTTTCTTTTTTTCATTTTCTTTCCTTTAAATACAAAACCAGTAGCTTAACCTCCCTCCAAACAACTTTGGAGTTATGAGGAGGTCCCACCTGGGAGAAACAGGCCCAAATTACATTTTTTAAGAATATACAGCCATAGTACGCTGCATATATGAAGAACAAACTACAACTATTGTGCATTTAATGCACTGATTTAACCCAATTAAATTCTGGTGAGTATAAATTCTGCTTAGAGACAGGAATGAGACTAGCTCTTCATTGCATGGCCGTAACACAGTACCTGCATGTAAGAGATGTTCAAGAATTACTTGTTGAATTGATAAGTTAATACCAAGACTGGTTTCAGGGGAGGGAGAGGGGACATCAATCAGTTTCAGAACTCACAACAAATTAAACTTAAAAAACATTTAGGGACTTGTTAATCTTCTATCGCCTACCTTTATGTGGTGCTAGGGATCTGGATTAGTCATTTAGCACCTGCAGGCAAGACCGTAGCGCATGAATCCGGGGAAGTCATTAGAGCCAGCCCTCTCTGGTGTCTGAGTTTCTAGTCAGAGCCAGCCACCAGCTAGAGTTAGGGTGGACACTGGCCACATGAGCAGACATGGTTGTGGGGCCCAGTCTGTCAGGCAACCAAGTAGCAGATTCTTACTCGAATTTTATACTGCATGTAACTTCTTAGGATTTAATATTACTAAGTCCTTATATTTAGCTGTATTAAGCAATTTTAAAACAGATAAAAAGGATTCTTCATACTAAACTTATCCCTGTCTTCCAAGAGTAGACTTTTAATACCTAGACATCTCTGGTTAATATATAAGCTTCTTTGTGATGTTGCTTTATTTCAGTTCTGTAATATAATGGCCATAAAGAAATTACAGAGCCTAAAGTTGAACCCATAATGACCTGAAGTACCAGTTCTTGACTTTTTTGGGTATTGGACAGACCAACATAATAATTACTGTCATAATTACCCTAATGATTCCTGTTTACTACTACAAAGAAATACAATCAAGCTGAAACGTGTGTCTCTTACCTCGGCAATGCACTCATGAGAAGTGTGTTCACTTGCTCACTTCTGCAATGCCTGTCACCGTGTAGAAATTCTCCCTTGATATTTGGAAGACTGATCTGGGTCTTCCAGCTTAGTCTGGGACAGCCACACAAATAGGTATGAGACAATCAAAACCAAAACACCATCATATGTTAAGGTGAATGGTACCAACTGTATGTCTTAGAGACATATAGACAAAGTCGGCTGGCCTAGAATAATATTAGATAAAGGCCTGACACCTTAAGTACGTTCAATAAAGAATTAATGTGAGACTACAGTGGCAAATTAATATGAAGCACTTTGAAAAGCATAAAAGGCTATATAAATACGTGGTTAATCTTGCAGTTTGTTTTATATAGGAAGGGCTTGGGGGCAGTTGTTAGGGAAGCGTTTATGGCTAAAAACACATGGGTGAGAATACGCATGACACCAAGTACTAGTGAGGAGACTCAGACACATGGGATGTGAGTTGGGGGTCAGAGATACAGCATGATGACCCAGGAGACAGACTGGGGAAGATCTTGGGATATTTCACAAAGATTCATCTGACCAGTGTATGCATCGTGGATTGGAGCAGGGAAGAACTTCAGAATTAGTGGAATCGCTGTTTTTGACCTTGTACATGTAAACGTTATCATAACAACTTAGATATTTATGCAAAAACTCAGTAATACCTTAGCCAGGAAATCCTGTGAGAAGGGAATGTACCTCTTCCTTAAGTCTGCTGTGTAGTGTGTAGTGTTGCTTTTTTTTTTTTTTTCTTCATAAATCACGGGAAACTGCTGGCAGTAGGATGTAACTCAACAGTAGACAGATTGCTCTTTGCTGCTTTCTTTTAAGAAGCAGGTTATAAAACTGTTGGGAGCCTGGAAGAGTAGTTAATAGATCATCTTAAGCAATTTGAAGTAATTTTTTTTTATACAGGCTTGCATTTGGGAGGCAAGAGAACTAGAAGGGAAAGAGTTTAGGGAGTAAGAAATCAGTACTGCCCTGAAACATGTGCAACACACACTGCTGCCCTGAGCGGCCATCACCTGTGTCCGTGGGAGAGCAACTGCAGTGAACCCCACAGTGGACAGAGTTAGCATTATGACGCAGTCTTCATTAAAACGGTTCTGTACTTTTACCTTGTTTTTTACCTCCTAAAATACTTTGCCTCTTGCTAGTACACTTTGTTAATAAACCTTTGAATGCTGGAGCATGCTGCTGGAATATTCTTTCATGGGTCTATTACTATGTAGACATAGATATAAGGTAAACATCAATATTAATCCAAGGCACCTTTTCATAGGTAGGCTGGAGGCCTCTCACAGACCATGAGATAGCCGTGCTGAAGTGTCATGAGCATTAAAAGACTCTGGCTTAGGACTAGTTTAGATTAGCAGATAACTGTCACTTGAAAGGTGATTAAGAGGCTTCTCCTAATGGCTTTCTTTTCATCTCTGGACATTGTCCCCAAAAGCTCTTGTGTTACAGTCTTTTTGGTTATGGCTGTTATAATAGGCCTGCATGCCGATGATACAGTGCTAAGTTAACCAGACACTTAAAGGATCTTCTCTTTTTGATAAGTGTAAAATGTTTGTATATGCATTGGGAAATGTAATAACATTATGTGGGCAAAAATTTGTGTTGTGATCTTGGGTTCGGTTTTAGATGAAACTCATGATGTCGATTCTAAAGCTTGAATCTTACTTTTCTTTCAGACCACTAAGGCTTTTCTTCCTACGATGCTGGAGATTAATCATGGTCATATTGTGACAGTTGCAAGTTCCTTGGGATTGTTCAGTACTGCTGGAGTTGAGGTTTGTCAGATATAAAACATTTCCTAGATTCAATCCGGTTATCTAGTGTTGAGTACACCTGAATCCTAAGGAGAGTACCTGCTGAGCGTATATTTGTGAAAGTGCTCTACCTGTACGCTGCGTGTAGGACGTTCCATAGTAGCCCAGGGCCAGCTGTTGAGATGGAAATCTCCCTCTCCTGCTATAAAATCACTTAGACTAGTTCGACAAAGCTGCAGCAGCAAGAGAAGTAGATGGGCCAGTCCTCTCAGTATGACATATTCATTAGCAGCTTTGCTTGATGGTGATGGGAGGCACAGGGTAAACAACAGAACATGGAGGGCCGTGGTCTCGCTGTAGGGGACAGATAAATGAAACCAAAGGTTCCCTTTCTGTTTTGGTCAACTTGCCAAAACTGAGCTATCTCGGATGAGCTCACGATATGTAGTGGTTATGGCCGATGTCAGGTGTTCTGCGTTGTAAGTTTGCAGAACTGGCTTTCATCAAACCCTGCTTTTCACCATATGCAAATTAGAAACCATGTGTATGCATATCATTCTGTGCTGTTTGTCCTATGGGTGTGTATAAAATTGAAAACATCACTCCATGGAAATATGCAAAAGGACACAGACTAGGTAGCTTCTATTATACATTCAAAGGATTTATATTTCCCTTCCTAAATTTAAAGTTGGGTTGTGGACAAGAACTTTCTCTCTATATTGTGTACCCTTAGGTTAAGTTCTAGTTTAAGTTTACAAGGTATAGTTATCATTTTCATTTTACCTTCGCCCTAAAAAGAAAGTCAGATCATAACAATTTACCACCTAAGCTAGACTTGCCTTTGTTCTTCATGCATTAATTTAAACAAACTGGTTTTTCAGTCTCCTCTACTGAACAAGAGACCATTTGTAAATTTTCCAGACACTTCAAAGTGAACCTCTCTCCATTTTTAACTTCATCTTGTTAGCTTTCATAGAATCCTTTGTGGTAACTTCCCCAAAGTAATATGATATTTAGTTGATGTGGCAAAAAGTGTTCATCTGTTTCTGCTGTTGCTTTGAAAATATTATTTCTGCACTGAACCACATCAGATACCTCTCTTTTAAAATGGTTTCCTTTTCTTTGCTTAGTCACCTGTAACCTTTTGTATCGAACATCTAACCAAAGTAATAGGACCAGGGGAGCTTCAATTTGGTCAGGGATTTGGGCATATACTTAGTATTTCTGTTCTCTCCCCCACCTCCTACCTTAGGATTACTGTGCCAGTAAATTTGGAGTTGTGGGTTTTCATGAATCCCTGAGCCATGAGCTAAAGGCTGCTGAAAAGGATGGAATTAAAACAACCTTGGTTTGCCCTTACCTTGTAGACACTGGCATGTTCAGAGGCTGCCGAATAAGGTCAGTGAGAACCTATCTTATTACCGATAAAAAGAATGATATTGGGAGAACGTGTGGAATTGGATCCTCAAACACAGTCGGCCTTGCATTTTAACTGCCATTTGACAATTAATCTGTGGTTTTCATTGGTCAAGGTTTGTAAAATTGGTATACAAGATTGGCAAGCGAGGGACTGGTGCCACACTAATATTAATTTGCGGAAATCAATCCAGAAACATCAGATAGGAAATGGCTTCTCTACAAGGAGAATTCGTAAATGCCCATTATTTTCTTAGAAGCTACATCTTTAAGGGATATTTCATTTCGTTAGTATTAGTGTTGGTAAATAAAGGCTCCGGAAGAAAATTCCTTCATGCGACTTCGGTTGAATGTGATGCAATGTCACTGCAGCAGAAGAGTTACATTCCCCTCTTCTAAAAAGACTGTTGACTATTGCACTCCAGATTATGAAACCTCCTTTTTGCAGCAGCTGTATATAGCTAGATTCACTCTGACAGAATGAGAAGAACCATTTAGATTTACTAAAAAATAAAATACCCACACGTGTAGAAAGGAGGCACATGGTATGAATGTCAAGTTCTATCTGACTTGAGCTTAGCAGAATAAACAAAGCCATGAATCATTAAGAGGATACTTGTGAAGACATGCTTGCTTTGAGATGTTTGCTTGGGTGAATTTGAAAGGCAAAGGAAGATAACCAAACCAGTTCCCTGTTAGTTGGGGGCCATTCTTCACACATACTGAACTGAACAAGCAGCAGTGAGTAGGTGGAAAGCGATTTGAGTCATTTCAATCTCCGGCTGACTCCAAGTCTGAACTGGGAAGTAGACTCTAACTCTGCCTCTTATCCTGCCCGTGTGCATGCATGCATGCGTGCGTGTGCGTGCGTGTGTGTGTGTGTGTGTGTGTGTGTGTGTGTGTTGGTTTGTTTTGGTTTTTTCCCTCTTACGTACTTAGGAACCAGTTGCTAAGGAGCTGTTTCCTATGTAGCATAGCAGCAGGTACAGGTGTCCAAAGCTGTGGTGGGACAGTGCAGATTATATTATTATGTTATTTCAACATGTAACTTAGTGAAGTAAACTGAAAATGGGATGTCTATGAAGGGCCCTTCATTTCAGAGCCCCCTTGAGAATATACCTTGGGTTTTCCTATTCAGGCATCCTGGAAAGTGTATAGCTGACTTTCATTTCACTCAGTAAGGTTATGCCAGTGTTTACACACCCTCATTTTAACTATAACTAATACTAAAAGCTTGGCATCTTATTAGGTTTAATGTTTGCTATGCCAACCAACCTCTCCTTTTTCTGTTGAGAGCAAAAATTAGAAAAATCATTTGAAATACATTTTAAGGCATCTTAAAAACATGACTTTCTCACTTTACAGAAAAGCAGACCGATTTTGCTTTTTGTTTTTCCTAACTTGTCTTCCACACTATGCCAATAAGATGTGTTCATAGTAGGAAAATTTGGGAAATACAGAAAAGCACCATGAAGAAAACAGAATGTACCCAAAATCCCATCACACAGATAACGTCACCATTGATGTTTTGATATGTATTTCCAATCTTCCCTATTGTGTAAATTCTTAATTTCATTTTTGAATATATAACTTTAAGGAAAGAAATTGAGCCTTTTCTGCCACCCCTGAAGCCCGATTACTGTGTGAAGCAGGCCATGAAGGCCATCCTCACTGACCAGCCCATGATCTGCACCCCCCGCCTCATGTACATCGTGACCTTCATGAAAAGGTAACTTGGAGGGGTTCCCTTGTTGCTTGAGTCTTTCTGTGCCCACTTGATGTCTAAATGAACAGCAGTCTCTGAGTTTGCTAACAGCTCTGACTCTCTTTTTCCAGCATCCTCCCTTTCGAAGCAGTTGTGTGCATGTATCGATTCCTAGGAGCGGACAAGTGTATGTATCCCTTTATTGCTCAAAGAAAACAAGCCACAAACAATAATGAAGCAAAAAATGGAATCTAAGAATCTTTTTGTATGGAATATCCTTTCTACCAGAAGACGATCAAGATGTTTCAGTCCAATTCACATCAGCATTACTGACATTCTATGGATTCTAACCCTTGTTGATTTTTTTTTTTAATCAACTTTTTAAAAAAAAATAAAGTGTAAATTAACTGACTACTTGGAAAATGTGATCAGTAAAAATGAGCTTAGGTTGTTGCCAACAGGGTCCTTTTAGATAGAACCCTAAAAACAGTCAAATCTGTAGATAAGCACTGTGTGACATCTTCAGGCTACCATTATTTTTTTAATGAGCAGAAAGTCTAGAAATAATAACGACAATGTGTTTCATGTATGTGATTTTTTTCAGAATTCCCATAGAGTTTATTCATTCTTGTCATTAAATTAGCCAGTTGACATCCTTGCATCTTCAAGGACTGATAGTGCTATATTTTCTAATGTTTTCTAAGTTTTAGTTTTGCAAAGCCTATGTGGTTTTTTCATGGTGTTGTATGTTCAGCTCTTTTAAAAAGGAATTTTGAAATCTCCATCAATTTGAAGCAAATGATGTCTGAGTGTTACAGTAAAGATGATCAGGTCTCTTTCTTAAAGTCATAATGACGAAAGTATTAGCTGAATTTTTGAATTTATCTCTGAAATACTTCATGAAGTGTCTGGAGACCTACTTATCCAAAAAGATACCATACATTTTCTACCTATGAATTTTGCTGCATACAGAAAGTGCCCTTTCCTCAGGAAGTTGCTATGTTTCATTTCCTTGGATGGACTTTTATCTAGAATGCATAGCAGCTCTGCAAAGAAGCAGTTTCTAAAAATGGGAACTTCTACATTAAAAAGTCCCCATTTTTGTGCCAACTATGATTAGTGAGGGGGAAAAATCTTATTCTATGGAGTATGTATGGAAGGGTGTAAAGATTCTTTTGAAAGGTTTATTCACATTGTAGAACAGCAAATGACATTTTTACAGTATTTTTTTGTAAAGCAAACTATTTTGTGCCTTGAATTTGGTATATGTGTATTAGTGAAACATTGTAAAAGTGAACTTCTACCTCTGTATCTAATGTATACCATCCACTTGTAAATTCCTATAAACTATTATGTGATTGCTTTTTTTTAGACTGTCTTGTTTAAATAGTGACCAATGTTTAAGGCTATTAAAATAAGCCAACTTTTACTAATTGGGAAGTTTTATAAAGGACTGATTAAATTTTAAAAATTAACTTACATGCAGCTTGTGTGATTATTAGTTATCAGCAATGTTGTAAGGGAAATCATTGTGTTCTTTTTTTGTCATACCCCACCTGAAAGAAAATTGAATGGGATTGTGTTGGGGAACAGATATTAACAACCCAGGGTGCCATTCAGTCAAATAGCCAGTGTTACCATCTACCCAGGTTAGATACTTTATTAAGGACTTGTTTACACTAAAAGTGGGAAAACAGCATCCCATTATGTGTGTGTTTATTTGACTGCACTGCAGATGAAATCTGCACTGTATCCACGTACGGGAAAGGTTCTGGCTGGTTGCTGGTGTCTCCAACACAGCACAAGTCTAATTAAGGAAGAGCTTCATTGTATGTTTGAATTTCTCTTTACGAAAGATAATCAAACCTCAAGGCCATTATAACAATGGAGGCACTGGCTGCCTCTTAATTTTCAATTATGGACCTAAATAAGTACTTTGAAGTGATCTCATAACACTGGGTTGGGAACAGATATTTTCAGAGGTTAGCCTGGTCTGCTTCCCAGCTAACCTGGAGCACACTCAAACAATCCTAGATAAATCTGTTCTATTTTAACGACCCATTCATCAACCTTAAACCTAAGAAAAATCTTCTTTACATTTAATTTTATTCTTGTATGTTGTAACTTAAACCTATTTCTGTTTTGTTTGTTATTGCCCTTATAAGAATGTCCATCTCTCCAAGTTCAATAAATCTAATTCATTTAACGGTTTTGTGGAAGTCTTTCATTGCCATGTCCCAGCCCAGTTTAATTACTTCTGTGGCTCTCCCTTGAATGTCGTCCAAATTCTCTTTCTCATCTTCAGCTGTGGAATTTGGAAAGGGATACAGTTAGTACAAGTTTAGAATTATGGGATTCCTACATGTTGTATTTCTTCGTCCCAGGACCATATTCTTAGTTAATGCTACATTGCTGATTGTGTGTGTGTGGTGGTGTTTCTCTCTAAACGCGAAGTCTCTTCTAGTCCAGTCTGCATACTTGTGTTAATCACTTACGTGATTGCCAAGGTTACTTTTCTCACTGGTCGTTTATCTACATCTTCCCCCTCCCCCACCTTAACATCAATGCCGACTTTGAATATGTTCTCTTCTCTGTCATCTGGCCCATTCATGCGAATGTTCAGTGCCACTGGGATCCAGGCTGTCCCCCTAGGGAGCACCACTTCTGCCCCCCAGCTAGTACTGGCCTCTCCCTCCCTCTAACCTTTCAACCAGTTTAATGATAATCATATTGAGTGGGACCCAGGAATCAAAAGTTTTGAAGCTGGCAAAGATAAATTCCAACTATTGTTTTCCCCTTGATCTACCAGGTCTGCTGCTCTGTCACAAAAGATTAGATTAGCTTCACAGGATTGAACTACAGAAAGCCAGGCGTGTGTGTGTGTGTGTGTGTGTGTGTGTGTGTGTGTGTGTGTGTGTGTGTGCGCGCGCGCGCGTTTTGAAAGTATCCTATTTCCTTGAAAGGTTATACCTTTCAAGTTTTTCCCAAGTTAAAAAAAAAAATCAAGTTAATGTCTTTTTCAAAGTTTTCTTTTCCAACTGGCAGAAATAATTCTAAATTGATGTTGACCTGAATCTTGGAAATTTGCTTTTGCCTCCAACAAAATATAAAATTAGTGGGGTTGGGGTTCTTTCCATGCCAAGTGTATTGCCTGTGTCTGATTAAAAAGAGGAGTAGGGAGAGCGAGGCTGTGATGGCTGAGAAGTGGCTGGACATGGGGCCAGGGCGCGTGCGGTCAGCATTCGCACACAGCTCAGCAGGTACACCTGGCAGGTATCTGCTAGGCCGAAGGGACACAAGTAGCTTGCAGGTGACTCACAAGTACAAATATGTGTACATTTATGCGCACGTGCCACAGAAGAAGCCTCAGAGGGTGGTGAGGTCTCGGGCAGGGCTCAGGGAGAGGTGTCTGTTGAGGTTGGGAATGGGAGTTTGGGCATTCCAGGGAACAGATTGTCAGGAAAGGCCCAGAGGTCAAACAAGGAAGATCAAGCTCACTGTGGCTGAAACGCACAGAACATAGGCAGAGAATGGCATGTGTTCCCTATGGAGGGCTCCTCTTGAGAGTGGCCTTCATTCCCTGCTGAGGAATGGGTTCTTCATTTGGTACAGAAGAGGGGAGCCCTTAAAAGTTTTTTAGCAAGAAAGCCACATGAGCAGAGTTGTGAGTTAACAGGATCAATGAAGGTGCTGTAAAGAATTGCAAGACGCAGGAAGCAGGGAGACCAGGTAGGACGGAAGCTTATGCAACTGTCCACTGGGAGGTGACGAGAAAGAGCCTGCAAGGGATCGGGGACAGTGAGATGGGGCAAGACAGCTCTTCCTTCACCTGAGATGAGCCAAGTGGTTTCGAGCGGGAAGAGCAGAATCACAGTGAATCTGATTTAGAAATGCTGCGTTTGAGATGCCAGGTGACAGTAACGGGCCGACAGGTGGACACCTAGCTCTGGTCCTCAGGAAAGAGGTTGGTGCTAGGATTCTGGAGTCACCTACACAGAAGCTGTGAAGTGAACCACACTGGGAGGAGAAAGCACAAAATGAGGAGAAATCCAGGGGGCACAGCTCAGGGACCGTGAGGGAGCAGCGGCAGGAGTTGTAAAAGGTGGTGGAGGAAGGGAACTTCCTCCTCCCAAAGAGAAACCAGACTAGAAACAATTATCTCCTCTGCCTGGACCTAATCCCCAGGCTGAGTCACACTTAAGAACACTCAGTCTGGCCCAAGAAAAAGAGTCTGTGCGGCCAGCCCTGGGGCAGAGGCCCAAAAGGTGAAGGGCAGTGTTAACAGATAGCACATGGAGTCTTTGACCATGCACTCGGGTTTCTAGTAACTGAATCCATTGTTACAACTACCAAAGGAAAATTTCTTCCTAAGTGAAACCTGGAAACTGTTGTTCTTTGGCAATTTTGTTTGCTTGGCCTCTGAAGTATGACTTGCTTTAATGCACAGGCAATGTTTCATAAGAACCCTGGGGAAAAATAAAATGCATTTCAAGTTTCACCAATGGATACATGTTAGTTCAAATGAACCATTTTTATGTGCCAAACAGATGAGACAGAACCAGCTTCTATCAGTCTGCTCAAAGAGTGGAGCTCTTATCTGGTCCCAGAAAGGCTAAACTCACTGCAGGCCAAGAACTGCTCCGGGGGCAGGTCCCAGGTCAAAGTGGACATCCCAGGGCGCCCCTGGCTCTCCTGGTAAATGGCAAAGCAGAGCAGAGCAAGTGCCCACAGTCTAGCTACGATTTATTATGACTCTTTCTCGGGCTTTCAGTTCCTACCTTATGTTACAATAGCTGTTTCAAAGCACGTGTTTCATAACGCATCTATCTTTTGGAGAAAAAAAAATCGAGAATGTGCAGCCACATAGTCCAAAGAATCCTGCTCACTTAGTAATTAGTTCTCATTTAACTTGCTCCGTTGCTGTAGAGAACTCACACAATATCTTCCGGGAACTCCTCACAGGTTTTTGAGCTGTGATTGTTGAAACCTTTCTTACCACCAGCAAAAAGCAAGAGAATTAATTGATTAGCAAGAAAAACAAAGCATCTTCAGCCCGGATTCTAAGTTTGAGGTTTTCCTGTCAAGGTGATTGAAACCATGCTGCTGGGAGAGAGGTGCGTGCATAGCAGCCATGAAAAATGCCCCCTTGCCTTGCCCATACCTCCTGGGTGGTCCCAGGGAGGAACCGGAGCCTGGCTCCTCCATCCCAGCCCTCCGCCTGCACGTGGCCTGGCCGTCTCCCCGGCCAGCCCAGCTTATCTAGGGCCTGAGTGGCCCAGGGGGCCAATGAGCAGGTGGGGTCCTGCCAGACACAGGCAAACTCCGAGTGTGAACAGCACAGTATCCTGCAGCTGTAGATTTGCATAGTGTTGTGGGTTTGGATCATGTCCCCCGCAAAAGATATGTTGAAGTCCTAACTAAGGCCAGTACCTGTAACGTGTCCTTATTCAGAAATAGGGTCTTTGCAAATGTAATCAAGATGAGATCATATTGGATTAGTGTGGGCCCTGACTCCAGTCACTGGTGTCCTTATAGGAAGAGACACAGAAACACACAGTGAGAAGATGCCGTGTAGCGACAGGCAAAGACTGGACCGAAGTAGCCACAAGCCAAGGAACACCAAGGAATTGTCTCAAGGACCAGAAGCCAGGAGAGAGGCATGGAACAGTCTGCGAGAGCCTCCAAGAAGGAAGCAACCTGCTGACACCTTGATTTCAGACTTCTAGCCTCTAGAAATGGGAGAGCAGAGATTTCTGTTACTTTAAACCAGGCAGATTGCGATACTTTGTTACAGCAGCCATGGCAAAGGAGCGCACTCGGCCTGAGCTCAAATCCAGCTGTGCCCCTCCCTCGCCAGAGGTCATGGGCCTTTGTCTTCACCTACGTCAGTCTCAATCTCCTCGCGTGTTAACTGTGAATAATAACAATACCTATGTCAAGAATATTGTGGATTAAATGAGATAATTAAATGAGGAAAAAAATGTGAGGAATATGAAAGAATACATATAAAGTGCTAAGTACCGTGCCTGCTATACGTTGGGAGTGTTCAATAGATTATATTAGTTTGAATCTCGTGAAATTACTGTTACTCAACTGTTTTGACCTACAAAAAAGGAAATTTTTTTCTTTTTCTTTACATTTTTAAATTTTTTCTTAGGACAGGGTCCCACTCTGTCACCCAGGCTTGAATACAGTGGCACAGTCATAGCTCACTGTAACCTCAAGCTTCTGGGCTCAGGTGATCCTCCCCCACTCAGCCTCTTGAGTAGTTAGGACTACAGGTGCACACCACCGTGCATGGCTAATTTCTGTTTAGTTGTTGTTGTTTGTTGGTAGAGACCAAGTCTCATTATGTTCCCCAGGCTGGTTTCGAACTTCTGGGCTCAAGCAATCCTCCCACCTCAGCCTCCCAAAGTGCTGGGATTACAGGTGTGAGCCACTGTGCACAGCCCCCAAAAAGGCAACTTCATCTGGTTCAGCCTAACAATAATGATGGGGGTGTAATGACAGGGCCCGTATCAGAGTCCCTCTTTACAGGACTGTTTTGTGTTTCTAGCAACAATTCGCAGTTTTCTGACACCAACTGGGTATCCGGTAATTCAATCCAATTCTGACACTTTTCTGGAGTAAGCACAGACCCCACAAATTAGGTCTCAATCCCACAAGACTGTCCCCACTTCAGATGCCGCCACAAATGGGGTCCCCAGGCTACACGCACATCTGCCTGGCTGGCTGTCTACAAAATCAGGAGTTCCCACGACCCCCACTCAAGTTTGATAATGTGCTAGAATGACCCAGAACTCAGGAAAACACTATACGGCACTAACAATTACAGTTTATTATAACAGGATACACGTGAACGGCCAGGCGAAGCACTGCATAGAGCAAGGCATGTGGGAAGGTACAGAGCTTCCATGCCTGGGGGGCGGTGGGGGGGCCACCCTCCCAGCACCTCCACCTGTTCACCAACCTGGAAACTCTCCAAACCTCGTTGTTCCAGAGTTTCTATTGAAGCTTTATTACGCAGACATGATTGATCAAATCATTGGCCATTGGTGAATGAACTCAATCTCTGTCCCTTCTTCTCTCTCCAGAGATGGGGGAGGGGGTGTTGAAAATTCTAGCCCCTCCCTTGAAACTCTCTAAAGGCCCAGACTGTGCCACCTCATTAGCATAAACTCAGGCTCGTTATGAATAACAAAAGAC